AATTTTTGATTTAGAAGATACATTCTACTTTTCCCATCCATGGCAGTATCTTTTGTATTGCTGCTGATTTGAACCAACATGCCATTGTAGACACAATTGTGTATGAGGGAATTCTACTAAGCTCAGTGAGACTAATTTCTACATACAGTTGGGCTTCTGGCTGTTTTTAATCACATAGTAGGCTTTCCCAACACTGGGAAATGGTTAAAATGAGGAGCAACAAAAAACAAGTGTCCCAAAACATCTTCAATCTTGGTATTATATTTTAGAAAGGATTCCAATTTTATCTTAAACATACTGGTGGATTCTTGAAGAGATAGTGTCCAGGGATATGTGGAAGAGAATGCTTGCACTGCATTCTCTCTTACTTTCATTATAAAAGAGAGATTTCTGATTGTTAATTTCCTGCACCGTTTCAAAATTAAAAATCTGGGTTTGAACCTGGACAGGAGTAGTTTAATTTATATTAGCAAAGGGATGGGATAACCCAGTGATGGCTAATCTTTTCAGCACCAAGTGCCCAAAGCGCATGCATGTGCACATCCCCAAAATGCAATACATGCACACCCCCTGTGCATGCTCCCCACCCCCCAGACTTGTGCATCCATCCCCATGCATGCAGCCCATCCCTGTGCATGAGCCCCCCTCCCACATGCACCCCGCCCCATGCATGCATGGCAGAGACCCAAAGACCAGCTGGCCGGCGGTAGCAGAGCTGAGCTGAGGCGACGACTTGTGTGCCCACAGAGAGGGCTCTGCATGCCACCTCTGGCATGTGTGCCATAGGTTCACCATCATGGGGATAACTCCTTCCCTGTATTTACTATTGAAAAATTCTGGTACAGTAAACTAGCACTAGGTTTTAAAGAACTTTTTAAAATTCTTTCAGCCACCTTTTTCACTTTCTAGCTTGTTTTAAATCTACTTTTATTCCCAATAAAAAAATATGAGCTGGGTGGGGATGGATATTAGCCAGGTAGTCCTTACTATCAGTCTTATCTCAATACTTTGATCTATGTGAAATTTAGTATCAGCATTTTAAACACAGAAGTCAGTTTTAGAATTTTCAGTTTCCCTTTGCTATAACCTCTCTGAATAAATCACACAACTACTTGAGGTTTTTTTAAACATAAAAAGGAGTTTATTTATTAATAATTCATGAGTTCTCATCGAACATGCACGAAGCAACGGTGCTATTCAATAGAGAATACTGTCATCATCTGTCACTGTTTTATTTGACATTTACACTTTTTTTTGCAACATACTGAAAAACTTTCTCAGATAGCACAGTAAAATTATTTCAATAATAATAAAAAAAACACTGCAGTGCACATTAAACTTCCCTCTTGATAGTAATTTCTTGATACAGAATTGTGTGCTTGGTTAGTGGTTCCATTATATAATGTTTTCAATCATAGCCTCTCATGGCACTTGAAACCTTTTTGGTTGATAAATATATGATCCTGAATGGGTGGTTGATTAACTACTTGAATAAATAAGTTGAGAGCTTAAGTGAAAATAGATTTGTTGAAGAAAAATATCCTAATAGCTTGTGAAAAAGAAGATAGATAATAGCTTTTTGTGAAAGAAATTGATATAAATGAATTGCTATTGTTGATGCCAAATAAATATTTAGGGAGGGAGTGCTACAATGGTTTAAAATTGGAAGCATGAAGAGGGCATTTTAGCACAATAACAATTTAGAGTTAAGAGGGTTTAAGCAATTTCTTGCTAATATTAGGCTTATGAAAATCTTTCTGTTCTGTAGGTTAGTTATCATTTATAAAAATTGCAGAACCAGCTGATACATTCATAAGCTAATTATTGTAGCAGCTGGGAGTACATGGTGCAATATGTCTGAGGATATGAAGTATCGCTGATTTTTTTGGGTCCTGCTGTGATTTGTGTACATTCATGCCCAGGCTGTAGAAGACTAGATCCCTTAATCTGATCAGTCAAGCACACAGTTTCTGGGAAAACTGGATTTCTCTTTCCCTAAACAACAAGAATGGGCTTCACCTTCAGAACTAAGCTTTGCTAAATATGCCATTAGCGTATTTCCACAGGGGAATCAAGTCATTTTCTGGTGTCCTAAGGATGGGACCTTTGCCTGCTAACTTCCTGTGCCAGCAATTAATTCGGTTTGCTCATATCTTGCACACATGGTCACATGGCAGTCTAGTTCATTCCTTAGTAGTTTCATGGTCAAGACCTTGCAAGGTGCCAGGCAAATTGAACATGATGCTGCCTAAAGTATAATGACAGAGAGCGCACCATCCATAATGAGACCTGTTGTGTCAAGCTAAGTGCTGCTAATGAGTGCAGATTATAGAAGTAGTTATCAATCAAATACAGCTGAATGTTGCATGAAACATTCCAAGATCATGAGGAACAGGAGAGATGTCATCTGTCTCATCTTTCTTTTCAAGCTAAACATTCTGAAAAGGCAACAGCAACCTCAGGCCAGAAGATCTCAAGATCACTCAGAATATAGACTTGGAGCAGTTGTAGGATTTTTCTTAGCCTTTGTAAAAATATGAAAAAGCAAAAACGGAAACCAAATCAGTTTTCCAAGGGAATGTGTTGAAGCCATACTTGTTCAAATACTTTGTATGTATTCAATGTGTTCAAGTAAAAAGTAAAGAGAATGCAGGAAGAAGTACTCCCCCCTTCCATGTTCTATTTTACATTTAAAAAAAAAATCCTTTGTATAGAAGGACCCCTGAGAACACACTTTAGAGCTGAGAGTTTTAAAGGTCTGTTTGCTTGTTGCTTTATTATTAAAGAGACATGGGATTTTGTGTGAGGAGAAGAGAATGTGGGAGTCAACCATCACCTGATTCTGTGGTTAGCCATGTACCATGCAGAATAGTAAATGCAGATATTTATTCCAGGTAAATGATTAGATATCTTCTTTTTATTTCCCACCACTCCTAGCTTATTGCAAGAAAAGATCAGGTCTGCACAACTGTGGCCTCTCACTTGTAAAAACAAGGCAGTGTTGTGTTACAGATTAGTTTATAAATCCCCCGTGGCTTCACAGTTCAGTGCCTACAGCTGCTGCAGATGGGCCTGGCTTTTTGTCTCTTCACTGTGCTGCAGCCGGCAGTTGAAGGAGAAAATGGAATGATCAGGTTATTAACATGTAGGCCGTGAGGAAGAGGCTGCACAATGAGAACAGCTGGTATGGCTGTCTTGGCTGATGCAGCGGAGATAATCAAATCTTGCTTTTCTTTCTTTCTTTTTTTGGGAGAAGGAGGTAAAGGCAGAAGATGCAGTGGAGAGTTATACAAATCATGACATGATATTATGCAGTTGTTAACATTACAATTAAAAATATAAAAACTAATACAAACTTTAAGAACTAAAAGAATAAAAGGAAGAAATAGAAAGTACAGGAAAAATAGTAGTAAAATAAAAAAGAAATAAAAATATAGTAAGAAAAAGAAATATATAAAGAAGTGACTTCTCTCTTCATCACAATAAGTATACACAATTTTGGTAATTTATCACATTCTCTTAAAATGCAACAAATTATATATATATATATATATATATATATATATATATATATA